CCTTTACACAATGAAGGAATTCCTCATCGTCGTCGTCGAATTGGTGAATGTCTAATAGGGATTCGTAGGTTAGTATATGAAAAATAAATCTGTAACAAAGATCAGCTACTTACCTGGTTTAAATTGCGGAATACTCGTCACCCCGTTGTTGAGGTCATATTTTGCCAGCACTTCTTCCAAACTGCGGTATGAGGAGAAAGGATGCTTCGGCACGGTCTTGAGAGATTTGACTTCTTTTGCAAGAAGTGTTGCCATTCCTAATGCCAAACCAATACTACAAAACTTTTCTTCAGTCAGGGCTTATTTATATCAACTTAATTTGTGAATCATGGTAGAAGTATCAATTTATATCTGGGACAAATTCAATTCTTCTTTATACATTTAGTAAACTTTTCAAATAATGTTAGTGAATATTGATTGGCCTTTAATTGTAAAGTATCAAATTTTACCTTATTAGATATGAATGTATAATTTCTATTTATAATATTTTTAACTGATTTATTCTATTTAGATATAGAACTTCAAATCAGCAAAACTTTCATGAATATTTAGCTGTAATTTTTTTAAATCATAAATATAATATATATATATATATATATATATTTAACCCACAATCATGTCACTTTGATGTCTGCAGTGGTAATCTGCGGGTAATGAAGTTAAAGGTTGGAAGGGTATTCACCTGAACCATTAACGGAGCAATAAATCACTTCCAAAGTTGCACTTAGAGTTTTAATATATTAAGACAAAACAGTGACAAGTGAGTTAGGTAAAATCTTAGATTTAGTAAATCATTTAAAATGTATAGTATACAAAAGTTTAATAAAACACATATACCTAGCCTGATTTAGAATTTATAAAAAAAAAAATCATACCACTTTGATGTGTCTTTATTAAGATATTGAGAGATACTAAAATATTTTACAAACTTTTTTACAAAGCAACTAACTTTTCATTGTACATTATTAGTTAAAGGATTACACTACATAAAAATATAAGGAGTCCACTAAACTAATTTGAACTAAACAAAATTAAGTTTAAACTAGATACTCTAAGTCATATTTAGAGGACAATAATGTGCTTTCCTAGTAGCTTGATATAATGCCTCTAAGTCAACCAGAATTATTGCCAACAGTTTGTTACTATCAATTATTCCAAAAAATAACAAATTGCTAAAGTATAGTACTGAAAAAAGGGAAAAAGAAAAATACAATTCAAAGTCTTTCAAAAGGTTCTTGTTTCATTTCACAGTTTTCTCTCGAAAGAGGTTTGTCTAATTGGGATATCTTTTAGGCTTCATAACATTTAAAGAACTTAAATATTTTTAAAAGTGACTTCCAGAAGAATATTTAAGGAACTTATCCTTCTGCCAATGTATAGATTCACTTATTGCTAGTGAAGTCAGTGTCATATTATAAAAAAATTTATCTAACTGAAATAAAGAAATCTTTTCAAGAACTTTGCCTGACTGGAATAGAAGCTTGGAGACCTCAACTTTTGTTCAAGAAAACCTTTTCACCACTTGAGAAACTTAATGAAAGATAGAAGTTAGATCTGTTTGCCTACCTGTCACTTACCTTTTAGTATCATAATTGTTTTCTGAAGATCAAACATACATAGTTGAAAGAAACATTTTTTCTAAAACTTTCTTTCTTATATCATCAATGATATAATAAAATATGTGAGTATTATTAATAGGAGCTTGTTTATATTCCAAAAACTAACATGTTTTATGACACCCAATCACCTTTGGTAAGGATTTATGCTACTCAAAATTCAGGATCAAATTGAGGTAGACAGAATTTCCCAGAAAACTGTAAAAGTAGGAGCTTTAAGAGGATCAAAATAGTCGAAAAGGAAAAAAAATAAGCCTTTTTACTACAGAAAATCTTTATAAATCTCTTGTTTCTAAGATCTAATAGGCCTTCAAATACTTTATAGTTAGTTCTTCTTCCTTTGAAAACTTTCTTGCCATTGGTATCAAAGGTATTACTTGACTTTTCTTGATCAGTAGGAGTCAAGTTTTTGAGTAAAGAGGTTTGTAAACAATAAGGGAAGGGTAGTAGTGACTTTAAAGTAATACTTCAAGTTATTTTAAGAAAAGTGTTAAGACTTTATTAGCAAGAAAATGTTAAGACTTTATTAGCAAGAAAGTGTTAAGACTTTATTAGTAAGGAAGTATTATGACTTTATTAGCAAGAAAGTGTTAAAACTTTATTAGCAAGGAAGTATAAAAACTTCTTATGAACATCTTTTTTGTATGTAGTCAGAGAATTAGCAAAAAAAGTTTTTTTATAAATATAATATTACTAATAATAATGAGTCTTTAAAGTATTTAGTATATAAAATTTTGCAGATCATCTATGTTTCTTTTTAAGGGACAAAATTTATAGCTTTTCACTTTAATAGAGATAAAAGTCAAGAAATGATTTACTATAAATCAATAATTGAATAATAGAAAACAATTGTGAACAGTTTTTTCATAGTTATTAATTTGAAAATTTTAATATTTCCTAGTAAGAAACATTTAACTTTTGTTTTTGTTTTTTTCTTTAGGGACCTATCTTTAAATATATGATTAAAAATTTAACAAATATATAAATTTTAACAAAATTGAAATTTTAATAAATGTTTAATAATTTTTTAAAATAATTTTTAATGAAATATATAGTAAAAATAGTATAAATTATATGATAAATAATGTTAAATTATATAACAAATAATACTAAATTATATAGTAGAAATTGATTAATTTATACTGAATTATATAATGGAAATTAATTAACAATTTATTTATGTCATTAATATGACAAATTATTTATTTTTTTTGATGAATATTATATGAGTAGAATTATATCAAATAAATGTTTTTCAACTAGTATAATTAATAAATTCATAATTTAGTCTAGCTAAGAATAATTTTTTTAAAAAAATCAATTAATTATATTTTTATTTAATTAATCTAATTGTATTAATAGTAAAAAATTATAAAAAAATTTTTTTCTACTAATTTCTAGTTTTCTTAAAAATTTTCTTTTTTGTTAATTTTATTGAAAAACAAGAGAAGTTATTTTATACACAAGAAAATATTTTTATACACAAAATTCTTAGCTTTCAAATAAGCTTTATACTACTTATAATCAATTAACAACAAATATTAAGTAGATATAAAGAAAATCTATCTGTCCTATATATAGTTTCTTTTTTTATAGAAGAAAGAAAAACATAAGAATACTGATTCACAGTAAGTTTTTTAAGATTCAATTTTGACTTCACAAATAATTAGCCAGATCAATGCAGGATAACACTTTATTTGATATCAAGAGAAGTTTTATAAACAATAATTCAAGCTAATAAATCAGTTTAAGCTCAATATTTACAATATTTAGGAGAATATTTAAGTCTCTTTTGCTTGATAGAATAGAGTTTCAAAACAATATAACAATAGATTATATTTCAAATGCATAATGTAAAATCTGTTATATATATACTTTTATAACAACAAACTTATATAACAAGTATAAACTTTATATAAATATATCTTTATTTATAATTCCACATATCATATCTATTTTTAGATTTGATAAACAAGAGTCAATTATTTCTAAATAAGATTTATAATAATAAACAATAGTTATTTATTTTCTGTTACATATAAACTTTAAACTTCACTATTTGTCAAAACAGTTAATAAGTTTTTTTGTATCATATAATCTAGATATGTCAATGAAAAACATAGAATAATACAAGTTACAAAAAATTGAAAAACATATATCATAGATACTTTAATTTGACTTTCAAATAAATTCAATCAATACAAGAAACTTTAGACAATACAAGCTATTTTTAATATAGCTGTTACTTCAGAAACTATGTAGAATCCTGTTTTTGAGTCAAACAGATACTTAATTTTGGATAGCATTATTGCCTGAATCCTAAATGTTAATTAAATTACCTTCAAAAAGGTTACAATTCTTAAGTAACATATTCTATATCTATGAATTCAAGGATAAGGAAAAGATAAAAATCTTTTAGCACCATATCTAGAAAACAAATATTTTAATATAATTGAGTAGAAAAAACAATTGCAACATATCTTATATGAAATATCAATAGCTCAATTTATAATGAATAGCAATCTTAATATTATAAATTTGAGAAATAATATAGAAGTTTAATCAACTATAACAGTAAAAATTCTCAGTAATACTGAAATAGTGTTATGGATCACGTGGGTGACATGATTTATACGTAACGGTCTAGCATCCAAAAACTCAAAAGTCTGACATGAAAGATTGAGTGTTACAAGGTAAGAAACTATAGATAAGGCTCGGATACTAATAAGGGAACTATGTGTATCTGAAAAAGTATGAAAAGTTTAGCAAAGCTTAGAGTTAGTATAGCCGATTATAAAGTA